GACACTTTATTACGCAAAAGACATGGATAATTTTTCATTTATTTATTAATTATCATTATTCATTTTGAGAAGAAACGACCCCTTTATAGTTTGTGTCATACTTTGCATTATTATTAGTGCCGTATTTACTTGAGCCTGTATCACCGAAGCCATTATAACTAATGCTAATTTACCTGGATTCGTGCTATAATGGAAGTCATAACTAAATTGAACCACTTCATCCTAGTACCAGCTGAGACTTTCTTCACACTTCATTCTGTGCAATGGATAAATTGAAACTGAAGAACATAATATATTTTATGTTAAATGAAGTAACGGAACATTAAGCAAATTTTAGAAACGTTTTAACGCTTCATTCTAAACTATCCAAACACTTGATTTTCAATACACCCACAGAGCTTCAAATAACATTATTATTCCTGCAATAAACTATCTTCAGTGGTTATTAGATGAATTTTTAACCGGAAGGCTTTCTGTAAACACTCTGAGTATGGTACTTGGAAATGTTGGCGTACCCAAGACGTCAAACAGATTTATTGCTAGAGCAATTCACTGATTAAACAACACAAAATAAATGAAAGACAGACTGTGATTACGGCTCTGCTAACCCCTTATTACTCACTCAAATATTCTACTCGCTTGACATTAACTACCTCTAATAATCCTTCTGTCTTGTTGATTTCGCACATTCTCTTCCATTTAAGCGTTTTTCGTAAGGGTCAGCCCATGAAAATCGAAGTTCTCCTTGCAAGCTTTCTGTCTGAGCCAGCTTTGATTATCTAACAGAGCTTAACTCATTTGCTGGAAATCCATCAGTTTGTTGTTTTCTCCTAGCGAAAGCGTTCGGTATTATTTTTCTTCAGTTTAATGAAATGAAAATGTTGTTTATAAAGTTCGTGTTGAAACACCTTTTCCTTGTATGATTCATATAGCCCACCCTTTCATTAAGTGACGATTTATTAGAAGAGACATAAACAAAAATAACTTACTTAGAAACTGAAAGAAGTCTTATTATATCGCTGCGTCTTCGATTAGTACTTATCAACATAAAAGAAGATCGCATAAGCAACGCAAAGAATTGTATTAGATTGAGATATTTAATCTACCAAACTAAATTTATTTGTCAAAAGTGTCACTTTGAGTAATAACACTCCTTGAGATTCATATATAATGTGATACAAAACTGAAGCCTCACAATGACTCAGCAGTAAGTCTGAAGGCTTATATCATTAAAATCCGGTTTCCATATCCGTGGTGAGCACAGCACAAACAGTCCATTGTGTAGCCTTGTGCTCAATAACAAACAAACAAATAAAAACTGACAAAGAAAAAGCCATGACAGTACACGTTTAACTAAAGTAAAACACATAGTTTGAACATTATTACAGAAATATAGCGAAGAATACTGTTGCTTGATGACAATTAAAATTAGCATATATCTAAAAAAAGTTTGGCTTGTGTAAATGCCAACAAATAGGTTAATGTTGTGATAATGTATAGAAACAGTATTGTTCGCAGTCAAGAGACGCGTTTTCTTTGTTCGTTATTCCAAATATCTGGTGTTTTGTGTTGAACCGGAAAAGGTTACCAGAAGTTGATACGTCTCGCTGTGACCACCATTCATGCCAACATGGTTTGCGTCATTGGGATGATGTGATGAATACCCGAACACAACTTTACAATAATCAACATGACTACTTACTGACGGATGGTCCACATAATTTTTGACTATGAGATACCGAAGATCATTTGAGTACCGTGAAGCGTATAATAAGTTGACGAATTCAGATGCTATTTAAAAGCATGTATCTATGTTGAATATTGGGCGGTTTCGTTCAGTTGTCTATCGCGTCAATCCAAAATGCTGGTCATCATTGACTTAAATGACAGACATATAGAGCAGATATAGCGCCCTTTGGTGAACATTTCCGCAAACCACGAATTATTGTTCTTTGTAGCGCCAATGGTATGCCTACCAAAATTATTGCTCTATGACGAATAGTCTCATTTTATTGATGTTTGAACAGGACAAGAAACTTTTATTCAGTACGATTACGTATAGTTATCTCAGTTATCAGAGTGTTAAAGTGTTCTAAGTTATTCTTGAATCATAACTATGTTCGGAGAAGACATTTAAATATTTCACTTATGTGGATATTTATCGGACGTCTCGAAGCTGGCCAAGCACTAAATATTTCTGAATCCATGATACAGTTTCTTTAAACTTTGAAAAATAGATGGTGATGTACAATACAAACAGATGACCGCTATCTACTAGTCATGGAAGTGACTCCAGACATCAAAGATACTTCGAAAACATGCCTATTAGGGAAGGTATCGAAAATTAATCAGACCCTTATCCATACTTTGACTTTAAGTTCACAACTTTAGTGACAGGCTGTCTTTCTTGCTTATAGTGACCAAGCTTCATAGCGTGAAGAAATGTCATTAACTGTTAAGATGTAAATTCATATATAACAAACTAAATGACCAAACTAAATGTAGACTAATTGACCAAACATTTGGATTTCAGATCACATGATAGTTCATTAAATGCCTGATTTATATAAACTGGACGCAAAACATTGATTGGCCATTTGCAGTAATAGTGGTTTCAACTTGTCAAATCTAAAATCTTCTACGTTTCTATTATCCTGTAATTAATTTGTGTAGTGTAGTTTGTTTTTGTCCACCTTGATATATTTTACGTAAATAATGCCATTGGTATGAAATTTATTCATAGTATTTAGTGCTTGATCGTCGATAAAATACCTTAATTTTAAAGTCAGCGTCATTATGAAAAAAAAAATATTTTTTTATTCCTAACAGTGTTTTTAAAGCAAAGTAACTAAAATAATATCGTCTAAAATGTAGGTAGGCTGGTTAATATCAGGCATTTTAACCTTAATATCTCTACTTAATTATTAATTCTAACAATATTTCAATTTTTTTAATTAATGCATTTGATAATGCCAGATATCTATAATAATGTCTACATATGCTCTCAGACAAATTCTATGTGATTGTTTAACTACCATCTATAGATATTAATAACGAATTAAGCATCAAATATTTTTAATATTCAGTATATTTTTCAAAAACAAAATTAAATTATCTGTGGGACGTGCAAGTAATCTGATATTGTACACTGTAAAATAAACTATGAGCCAATAAAAGACAGTTTAGTTCACCTTGTTAAATTTTTATGTTAATCTTTTGTGGTTATAACTAATTATGTCTACAAAATGTCTTGAAAAATTGAAAATTTTTCACAAATTTCGTTTAGATTACCATAAAAATTGGATTATTAAAAGATAAAAAAGAAGCTTGATATTAAATCAAGTGAATAAAAAGTTTGTTTGATTGTTATGAATTTCGCGCAAAGCTACATGAGGGCTATCTGCGCTAGCCGTCCCTAATTTACCAGTGTAAGACTAGAGGGAAGGCAGCTAGTCATCGCCACCCACCGCCAACTCTTGGGCTACTCTTTTACCAACGAATAGTGGGATTGATCGTTACATTATGGTGCCCCCACGGCTGAAAGGGCGAGCATGTTTGGGGTGACGGTGATTCCAATCCGCGACCCGCAGATTGCGAGTCGAGTGCCCTAACCACCTGGCCATGCCGGGCCGTGAATGAAGAGAAAAACAAAGAAAGAAGAAATTTTGTTCCAGATTCATTGGTTGGTTGAATACTTTAATTAAAAGAAAAGTAATGTGATATTAAACAGTTGGAAATAAAACCAATAATAAAAATATGAAGTTTAGTCCGCCGTCCGTACATATAAGATAAATTCTGTTTATTTATATGAGCAAGTAGTTTGGCATTAAACATTGTGGAATAAGATAAATGCCAAGAAAGCCAGAGTTTGATTCACTGATAAGTTGAGCTTTTTTATATTTAAATTAAAAATTAGGTACGCTCTATGTTACAATCAGGAATAAAAAATTTCTAGTTGTAAAAAATAAAACAACCTTTAACGATCGACTCACGGAAGTACCTTAAGCGCCAAAAACATTTAATGTTGACTGTGATTTAGCCGAAAGACTCCAAATAATAGCTTTTATGAGGACTTGCTTAAGATTTCCTTATGCCCGGAAAAACAGTCTTACAATAAGCAAGTAAGCTATCCTAAAAAGTAAAAAAATATTGTATTTGGTTTCGATTAACATTTTTATTTTCTAAATTGCTCAGTGACTAAGTAGATTTATCTGCTGATAAATAAGCAAATACCTTTGAAGCCTAACTCAACAGTAGAAAAAAGTAACGTTATTACTCCCTGTAATGTTTGTTTTGTTTCGAATTACGCTCAAAGCTACACAATGGCTATTTGCGCTAGTTGTCTCTAATTTTTAACACAATTTAATTTTTGGAAGTATTATTTCTTGCTTGAGAAAAAACACCTAGCTGTTTAAGCAAACTTGGTAAACAAATTTATGACTACTGTTTATTTCCGTCTTTTTTTTCTCTTCTGATTACAGGAATCTTGGTCGACGGAGAAATTTATTGTTATTTCTGATAAGAATTACAGAGCATTATTATTTCTGAACACAGATTCATGTTGTTTTTTTACGTTAAGACAGCACCAATTTCTTCCTTGATCATCTTGACGTGCTCTGTGACACAAAGGCTCGAACCATGCGCTATATTGAGTAAGTAAGTATTCAGACAACATCGTTCCAGTTGTCAATTTTTTTCTTTTTTTTTTTTTTACGTACTGCACCACTAGTAGTGATTTCATTACTTGCTTTTCTTGGCTCGCTGCCAAACTAGCCACTACTCACATAGCCTTATTTAAGGTCATTAAGACGCCGAGCCATCCGCGAAACTCCCAAAAGAAGCATTTCTAACAAGATCTATTCGCGATGGCTTTTCCACGTCCATTGGTTCACACCTTACCGACAACGCTTTATTACGGCTGCCTTCAACAGCCTATTCCTCACTTTGAAAACAAGATTATCGACGCTAGACCTTTTCATTTGGGAAAACAGATTCTCTCGCAGAGGGCACTTAGATAAGTTTGTTTGTTGTTGATCACAAAGCTATATAAATGGAATATCGGTACTATGCTCAAAATGGATATCGAAACTCGAGGTAAGTAGAAATATACACAAAAACAGGTTGAGTTTTTATGACAGAAGACTTTACACGAAGCGCTAGAACTGATTACACCTAAACGTTAAAAAAATGTAAAATTATATTTTGTTTGAAGTTAAAATACTATCATTGGTTGATAAACCTTATTAATATATTAACAAGAAAAACTTAAGTTATCAGAAAACCCCAACACTATCGTGCAATAAATCTATCTTCATTCAAATTATTGTTCGTAACTTTGTAATAGAAATAAAATAACATGAATAGTTAGAATAACCAGTCATTGGAATATCTAATAACATGACATTTATATTAAGGTCTCTACCAGTTAGTACCTGTCAGTCGCCATACTTTTAGTAGAGTAATATTTTCTATTCTGAAATCGAACACAAGTGTTTTAACAGTAGCTTTTCAATGTTTGTATTCCCTAGTGGTTAACGGTAAGTATGATGACTTACAACGCTATAATCTTGGGTTCGATTCCCAGCTGTGGACAGAATGCAGATAGTCAGTTGTGTACCTTTACACTAAAAAGTCAAAAACAACAACATCTAATGATGCATATAAAAATAGAAATACCAAGAAATCGGCGTAAAGTACCGAAACATGATGAAATATGCTGTCCTTCAAATTTTTTCTACTGTAAGGTAAAAGCTGTTTGTTTATACTTATTTAAAGAAACTTTTGAGTGTATAACGTTAAGATTTATTAAAGTCATAGTGTAACATTTAGTTTGACTAAATATATGATATATTATAAGATCAAATGCATTTTGTTATTTGTAAAAAATGACGAAGTTTATGATGCTTTAATGTTATTGACATTCCAGTATTTTCTTGCTGTATGAGCAATTACTTTTTAAAAGTTATCGTTTCTACTTGATCTGTTTAGTCTATTTTCCCATAAAATCTATTTTAGCTATAAAGTAAATGTTCTCATATTTGCTGTTTCTTGTATTGATAGATCAATAAGGTGTAACGAAAACCTTTTCATCAGAACGCCTGATAGTTTTCTGTGACATGGCGTTGAGAGTACTGTGGGGAAAACAGCATTTTCCGCCTTTTAGTCTGTCATCAAAACCTATGTACGAGGATTTCAAATACAAGAAAGAGTTAAAATACTTTTCCTCCAAAGAGTTTTAAGCATTAGACGAATATGTTTCAAAAAAGAATTACCAATTTGTTATAACCTTAATAAAACGGTAAATCGTAATTTTTGTCTGAAGTTTCAAGTTTCTTAAGCGATAACAATGTACGAACTTGTACAAAAAAATAATGTTTGTAACTAAAAATAAATGTAGCAAATGAATAATAAGAATTGAAATGTAAACAACTGCATTAAAATATGAATTGTTTGTCTTCTAATATATATATAGTTTTTATTTCGTGTGATAATATAATTTGTAATATAAAGTATAGTTTTGTTGTTGTTTTACAAAAACCTACACAATGGTCTATCTAAGCTCTACTCACCACGACTATCGAAACACGATCTTTAGCGTCGTAAGCCTGCATATTTACTGCTGAGTCATTAGGGGGGGAATTAATAACCGCTGACCAATAGTTGGGTAGAAATGTTATAAATCAAATAGAATAGTTCTTTTTTATTCAAAATGAAATTATGGAGAATAGAACATTTAAGTTAGTTTAATCTAATGTAAAATTGTTAGATTGTTATACACTGTCAGGACTTCTAACCTATTTTTGCAGTGTATTGGATAATACATCGACCAAACATTTATAAAAACAAGTAAACATAAAACTACGAAATCTCAGACACTCGTTATCTATATTTGATTTTTATATTTACTAGGTTATCACGACCAATAACACAATTGTTGATGTAACGGAAATGTTGATTGGTGCGAACAGCAGCAACATTCCCAGTTGGAGAGTACGGTGTCAGATACGGTTAACGATCAACCAGCAAGTTCTTGCAGTTACATTCGTAGCTCGGTCAACGCGTGCTGAACGCTCCTGTTTTTGTAGATGAGGCACAGTCATGAGGTACAGACCGTATTACTGGATCATCCAAATGATTCTTGCGGTATTAATTCAAGCTGAAGGTAAGTTTAGTATTGACATTCGTGTATAGATAATTATTTTAAAAACAAAATTATAGACAAGTAGTCTAAGTTTTATATTTCTAAGAATACAGAATAATAGCGTTATCATCATGATCCTTCAGAAGCAGGGCTGTATAAAACGTCAATCTGCTATAAGAGCCACTTTATATAAAGCCCTCTTTTGGGTTTTGCTATAATGCTAGCGTTATTTGATAATAACTGCTTTTAAGCTATGTTAACATCTTGTAACATAAAATTATTTTGTTTGTATTACGGCAGATTGGCGTTAGTTAGACGTACATTGCTAAATTTTTCAAAACTGGTTTTCATTATTTGTTTAGTTGGTTGATACTCCAGTGTAAATACTATTTGAGGATATGATTTTAAGTACGGTAATACTTAATAGTAGGGATCGACAAGGATTCCAAATAATTCACGCGCCGAAAAAACACCCTATCGAATTCCTAAGCGCATATATACTAATAATGCACTAAAAGGTCGCTAACATTTCCGGTATAACAATTCAAAAATTTCTAAACCAGCAACGTTTTCGTCAACTACCTACCTACCTGATCACGTCAGCGGGATTAGCGCCTAGACAGGTCGGACTATCGCTACAAGATTTCTCCAGCCTACTTTACTGATCTGTGGGTATCTGCTTTTCATACTCCGATAAAAATCTATGTAATATAAATGGTAAACATATCATGCACGTACTTAAATATATTTTCAACCCAACGGATGGTGCTACAAATCGATGGATAGACACGCGACAATTTCTAAAGGTAAAGCATATACTTTATATAGATATAACATAAAAAGTAAACAAACAAGAGTATTAAAAATTATGAATTTTAAAATGAAGTTAGTATCCTGCTACAAAAAGTAATGAAACAAAAATTAAAACCCCAATCACAAATTTCTAAAATTTAATCCCTACTTTGGCAGCTTTATACACTTATCTGTAGGCCAAAATACGTATTAAATTTTATAAATTCGTGACTGGTTTTAATTCTTGTTTCATTGCTTTTTATAACAGGATCACTACTTCATTCTAAACTTCATATTTTTTTAATACTCTTGTTTCATTATTTTTTACAACAGGATTCCTACTTCATTTTAAAATTCATAATTTTTTAATACTCTTGTATATATAAATTATGCATACATAAGGAAAACAGGGAAAGGAAAAAAAGATACACGTTCAACAAGACTTACATAAAACTGTTGAATATCAGCTAGTACATTAACATAAAGTATTCTGATTTCGGTTCTAACTGTTTTCCTGATAAAGCAAATTAAAACCAAGTAAGCATTAAGGTTCGCCATTAAGAAATGTTTCACAAACAAGAAACACAGCATGTTTCCAAAATTGTATCTCGTTATAAAATGTATGTGTAGACTTTGTTTTCCTTCAGCCTAGCTCATTCCTTCTATTTAATTCTATTAAGAAAAAATTAAGTGATACATCGTTTTTCAGAAAAATATATGTATTGCAATTAATTTAATTTTCCTATTATTTATGTCCCCAGTGGCACAGCGGTATGTCTACGGACTTACAACGCTAGAAACCGGGTTTCGATAACCATGGTGGGCAGAGCACAGATAGCCATTTGTGTAGCTTTGTGCTTAACTTCAAACAAACAAACCTATTATTTATAACTTCTTAAATATCCAGCGCAATTTATGATTGATAATACTCGGTGAATGCTGGAGCTGTGCTTCTTTTTTTAAGAGCTTAAAAACTAGTCTTAGCGCTGTAATTGTTTCTAAAACAATAAGTCAGTTCGAAGCTGTACTAAATTTATAAGCTACACAGAGTTTTATTGACAAGGTAAGAAAACAAAATTTGCAATATAGTGTCATTATTAAGAACTTTGGATTAGAGGTAAACTAACTATATAACGCAAAACTAAAATAATTGAGAAAAGTAACTTATAAATTGATACATACAATCCTGTGAAACTCACTGGCTAGAAATAATAATGTTAAACAAAAGCAACTGCAGTCATTAGAATGCTTTGAATGATCAGCTAGATTCGATCGCTGTTGATGATATTTTCAGCCATAATTCTAATAAATTCTCATGATTATGAAACATATATGAAGAAAGAAGTGAAAAGATGACTTTTGACTTACAAGTGAAATAAAAGAAACGAAAATTGTATTTTAGTTATACTTCATAGATAAGGTTAGCATTACAAAAAAGATCATAACAGGGCAGTGTTTATTAATTACTGTTTAATTTAACCGTTATTTTACATCACTGGCAACGCGCGCTCAAGAGAGAAATGATGTAGTTATATTCAAAATATAATAGTTATACCTTACTATTCTCTAAAACGTGTCCCCCGCTTATAAACTTACAATGCTCAAATTCGGGGATCGATTCTCCTCGGTGGGCATAGCCCAGATAGTCCATTGTATAGCTTTCGGCTGAAAACATAAAGACAACTGTAAAATAGTTTCCATTTGGATTTAAGCCTTATAACAAATTAATGCAAACGTTTCGAATGGTATTACTTAAGATGACGATGTTTAGTTGACTTGACAGAATAATGCGTTGTGTTTTAATGCTTTTTGACTTCGAAATAAAAATACGCCTAACAATGAAACTTGAGTAAAATGTAGTTAAGCACTGATAAAACTGAATGGACGCTCAACTTCTTTTTACACATGATCACTGAAACTTCTCACTGTTTTATCACACTGTAGTTGATCCCAAGGATTTTATTTCCTAGATTCCCAACCCTCAAACGAGATACAAAAAGAAGTAAATAAAGCAAAAACAAAATATTGACCTAAATATAAATTTTAGTTGATAAATTTACTTATAAATGAAGTTGGTCTTTCTCGGAAAGATCATATGATCTCATGTTTTATCTAATTCAATCCAGTTAAACCACTTTAACTATACACGCCTGGTTACAGTAACTGCCTTGACTGTGCACTGGCTAGGTTACCATAGCAACATTATAGCGTGGAAATGACCTACAGAGACAGACAGAGAACCTCACAGCTGCTTTTAGTACAGCGAAACTAATGGGAAAATATGCATTGTAAAATTAGAACCTAATAAAAACATGCTCTTAATAATTTTAATTCTTCCAAAGATGGACATGATGCTAATCAGTATTACCAGACACACATACTTGTTTTCTTTCGAACTTTCACCTATCTGCAAATATAATTCACTGTATCAGATGTGACTCCTGGCATCAACAGTGCTTAGTCTGCTGAAACTTAAGAGACAGGCATTTTAATGCGTATTGTATTTTTGTGTTTCTTTATTCCAAGTTCCGTATATGTGTGTGGCCCCAGTAGAAGAGGAGACTTGTGAGTTTATGGCTTCACATCTATTACACTGCTGATGAGAGAGAAAGACCTAATAAATGGTAGGGTGGTGGGATGGCATCTTATTTGTCATTGTTATGCTGGATTAGTAGAAGGGAAGCATCTCTCGTAGGCAATCCTTGTATTATGTGACGTTAGGTGTTTGGAATGCAGGACGTCACTATGGGAATGACCATTTTTCTCTTTTCTTTGTGCTTTTGGTTTGTTAGGAATTTTGCACAAAACTACACGAGGGTTATCTGCGCTAGCCGTCCATAATTTAGCAGTTAAAGACTAGAGGGAAGGCAGGTAGTCGTCACCACCCACCGCCAACTCTTGGGCTACTCTTTTTATGAACGAATAGTTGGATTGACCGTCACATTATAACGCCCCACGGCTGAAAGGGCGAGCATGTTTGATGGGATGGGGATTCGAACCCGCGACCCTCAAATTGCGAGTCGAGCGCCTTAACAACCTGGCCATGCTTTTCTTTGTGCCAACTCTGGTAAAAATGTGAAGATGCTGCGCATGGTACCAAAGTGAGGAATTGAGAGTGACTATTACTTTCTTTCAAGTTTAATACTATGCTTTTAATCGACCACTGTGTGACATTCAACATAATCTAGTTCCTGTATCACAGTTTTGTATTTTTATTTAACAATATTTTCAAAGCTAAACTGTTCACACATAAATTGTAGAATTAACAGGTTTACTTCATTCAAAGTACTTCACAACACCTGCCTTAATGTATGGCCTTCAATCACTTGGTTGGTTGCAGCTGCTCACCTAGGTTTGGAAGAATCGGGCAATTAAACTATTAGTAATTAATCAACCATGTGAGTGTTAAAATGCAGCTGCTATGACCAGTATCCCATATGGTTAGATAACAAGTTGGGAATGAGGAGAGAAAGAGTCATCTGACGCTCTTGCTTAAGTGTTTTTTCTATATCTGCTTGCTTTATTTTTAGACTACAAGAACCACGTTTCTTTTTGGTGGAGCTCATAAGCACAAGAGAACGAGGAGAGACACTGGTTTGTGGTTAGGGTTGGGAGAGGTGATTCATGCTCATAAGAGCTCAGGCCTGGACACCGAATTCTTCCAAGCTCCTTGCTAGGCTCTCCAATCGTCTGCCTAATCTTGGGGCTGAAACAGAACCATTGGTAAGGCTCTTAGTCAGGAACACCTTTGGCTAGTTTCAGCACAATGGAGTGGAGGTGCAGTCCTTGTCTTTAGGACTTCACTCAAGTAAGAGACTCTGTTGTAGGTAGCCAATACATACGATCTCACTATTGGAATGACGAGCATTCATCGTGATGGTTTCAACCCATCGGCATTTTCCCTAATGATATCCAAAAGCATGCTAGATTGACGTGAAAAAGCATCAGAAAATAAACCAAACGACCCAAGTGCTTTTATAAAGTGGATATTTCTTCATCAGGGTGTAAATGGCATTCTAGAAGCATTTCGGTTATTAGGTTTTTTTCTGAGACTAATTACCTCTGTATTTCCAGGTTAGATTGAAAGTTGAGGAGACTGATATACTTGAATGAGCGGGATTAAGTGGTTTGGATTTCAGCAAAGAATATTTACTGAATGTACAAAGGGATCGGATGCAGAATCAACCTTACAAAACATATGATCAATATAATTCTGGTTAGGGTATGTT